AAAAATCTTCCAACAAACAAAAGTCCAGGACCAGATGGCTTCACAGGCGAATTCTATCAAACATTTAGAGAAGAGCTAACACCTATCCTTCTCAAACTCTTCCAAAATATAGCAGAGGGAGGAACAATCCTAAACTCATTCTTTGAGGCCACCATCACCCTGATACCAAAAGCAGACAAAGGTGTCACAGAAAAAGAAAACTACAGGCCGGCATCACTGATGAACATAGATGCAAAAATCCTCAACAAAATAGTAGCAAACAGAATCCAACAACACATTAAAAGGATCATACACCATGATCAAGTGGGGTTTAACCCAGGAATGCAAGGATTCTTCAATATATACAAATCAATCTATGATACACCATATTAACAAATTGAAGGATAAAAACCATATGATCATCTCAATAGATGCAGAAAAAGCTTTCAACGAAATTCAACACCCATTTATGATAAAAACTCCCCAGGAAATAGGCATAGAGGGAACCTACCTCAACAAAATAAAGGCCATATATGACAAACCCACAGCCAACATTATTCTCAATGATGAAAAACTGAAATGATTTCCTCTAAGATCAGGAACAAGACAAGGTTGCCCACTCTCACCACTATTATTTAACATACTTTTGGAAGTTTTAGCCATGGCAATCAGGAGAAAAAGAAATAAAAGGAATCCAAATTGGAAAAGAAGTAAAACTCTCACTGCTTGCAAATGGCATGATACTATACTATATAGAGAATATACTATACTCTACTATACTATATAGAGATTCCTACAGATGCTCCCAGAAAACTACTAGAGCTAATCAATGAATTTGGTAAAGTAGCAGGACACAAAATTAATGCACAGAAATCTCTTGCATTCCTATACACTAATGATGAAAAATCTGAAAGAGAAATTAAGGAAACACTCCCATTTACCACTGCAACAAAAAGAATAAAATACCTAGGAATAAACCTACCTAAGGAGACAAAAGACCTGTATACAGAAAACTATAAGGCAATTTTGAAAGAAATTAAAGACGATACAAACAGATGCAGAGATATACCATGTTCTTGGATTGGAAGAATCAACATTGTGAAAATGACTATAGTACCCAAAGCAATCTACAGATTCAGTGAAATTCCTATCAAACTACCAACAGCATTTTTCACAGAACTTGAAGAAAAAATTTCACAATTTGTATGGAAACACAAAAGACCCTGAATAGCCAAAGCAATCTTGAGAAAGAAAAACGGAGCTGAAGGAATCAGGCTCCCTGAGTTCACACTGTACTGCAAAGCCACAGTAATCAAGACGGTATGGTACGGGCAGAAAAAACAGAAATATAGATCAGTGGAACAGGATAGAAAGCCCAGAGTTAAACCAATGCACATATGGTCACTTTATCTATGATAAAGGAGGCAAGAATATACAATGGAGAAAAGACAGCCCCTTCAATAAGTGGTGCTGGGAAAACTGGACAGGTACATGTAAAAGAATGAAAATAGAACACTTCCTAACGCTATACACAAAAATAAACTCAAAATGTATTAAAGACCTAAATGTAAACTCTTAGAGGAAAACATAGATATAACACTCTATGACATAAATCACAGCAAGATCCTATTTGACCCACCTCCTAGAGAAATGGAAATAAAAACAAAAATAAACAAATGGGACCTAATGAAACGTAAAAGCTTTTCACAGCAAAGGACATCATAAAGGAGGTGAAAAGACAACGCTCAGAATGGGAGAAAATACTTGCAAGCGAAGCAATGGATAAAGGATTAATCTCCAAAACATACAAACAGCTCATGGAGCTCAATATCAAAAGAACAAACAATCCAATCAAAAAATGGGCAGAAGGCCTAAAAATACATTTCTCCAAAGAAGATATACAGATTGCCAACAAACATATGAAAGGATGCTCAACATTTCTAATCATTAGAGAAATGCAAATCCAAACTACAATGAGGTCTTCTGCCCATTTTTGGATTGGGTTGTTTTTTTGTTATTGAGCTGCATGAGCTGCTTATAAATTTTGGAGATTAATCCTTTGCAAGTAAGTCAGAAAGAGAAAGACAAATACTGTATGCTAACACACATATATGGAATTTAAGAAGAAAAAATGTCATGAAGAACCTACGGGTAAGACAGGAATAAAGACATAGACCTACTACAGAATGGACTTGAGGATATGGGGAGGGGGAAGGGTAAGCTGTGACAAACTGAGGGAGTGGCATGGACATATATACACTACCAAACGTAAAATAGATAGCTAGTGGGAAGCAGCCGCACAGCACAGGGAGATCAGCTCGGTGCTTTGTGACCGCCTAGAGGGGTGGGATAGGGAGGGTGGGAGGGAGGGAGACGCAAGAGGCAAGAGATATGGGAACATATGTATATGTATAACTGATTCACTTTGTTATAAAGCAGAAACTAACACACCATTGTAAAGCAATTATACTCCAATAAAGATGTAAAAAAAAAAAACAAACTACACTGAGGTATCATCTCACACCCGTCAGAATGGCCATCATCAAAAAATCTACAAACAATCAGTGCTGGAGAGGGAGTGGAGAAAAGGGAACCCTCCTTCACTCTTGGTGGGAATGTAAATTGATACATCCACTATGGAGAACAGTATGGAGGTTCCTTAAAGATATAAAAGTAGAACCACCATATGACCCATCAATCCCACTACTGGGCATATACCCTGAGAAAACCATAATTCAAAAAGACACATGCACCCGTGTTCATTGTAGCACTGTTTACAGTAGCCAGACATGGAAGCAACCTAAGTGTCCATCGACAGATGAATGGATAAAGAAGATGTGGCACATATATACAATGGAATGTTACTCAGCCTTAAAAAGAAATGAAATTGAGTTATTTGTAGTGAGGTGAATGGACCTAGAGCCTGTCATACAGAGTGAGGTAACTCAGAAGAGAAAAACATACCGTATGCTAACACAGATACATGGAATCTAAAAAGAAAAAAAAGGTTCTGATGAACCTAGGGGCAGGACAGGAGTAAAGATGCAGACGTAGAGAATGGACTTGAGGACACGGGGCGGGGGAAGGGTAAGCTGGGACAAAGTGAGAGGGTGGCGTTGACATATATACACTACCAAATGTAAAATAGATAGCTAGTGGGAAGCAGCTGCATAGCACAGGGAGATCAGTTCCGTGTTTTGTGACCACCTAGATTGGCGGGATAGGGAGGGTGGGAGGGAGACGCGAGAAGGAGGGGATATGGGGATATATGTATACGTATAGCTGATTCACTTTGCTATACAGCAGTAAATAACACAACATTGTAAAGCAATTATACTCCAATAGAGATGTTTAAAACATTGCTTATAAAAGGGTGTTAAGTGGAAAAGCATGTTTAAAACACTATGTAATACAAGTTCAGTTATTAAAGAAAATGTAAAAAAAATTGAGGGATTCACAGCTCATTCAGAAAAGATACACAGCAGAGTCATACAGGATTTCGGGCTTCCCTGGTGGCGCAGTGTTTAAGAATCTGCCTGCCAAAGTAGGGGACATGGTTTCGAGCCGTGGTCCGGGAAGATCCCACATGCCATGGAACAACTAAGCCCGTGCGCCACAACTGCTGAAGCCCATGTGCCACAACTACTGAAGCCTGCATGCCTAGAGCCCGTGCTCCACAACAAGAGAAGCCACCACAATGAGAAGCCCGCGCACCGAAACGAAGAGTAGCCCCCGCTCACTGCAACTAGAGAAAGCTTGCGCACAGCAACCGAGACCCAATGCAGCCAATAATAAATAAATAAATATGGGGGCTATTTATTGTTTTTAAATAAATTTATTTAAAAAAAAAGAATCATACAGGATTTTGTAATTGGAAAACTGATTACTGCTTCATGCTGCTCTAGAAGTGGGTTGTTATATTTAATACTTATTAGATTTTATACTTCTAAATTGAAATTGTGATCATTATGACTTTTTCAGAGTAGATTAAGGGTGCACTAACAGTTTCCAAATTTTTCGTATTTGGAAGTTTTGCTGCTAAGTCATTTTTCCATGTTAAATAGCTATACAGAAATGGATCCTGTCATCATTGCCTCTGAAGGAGTGGAGAAATTCAAAAATGAAAATTTTGAAATTATTATTGTTGATACAAGTGGCCGCCATAAACAAGAAGACTCTTTGTTTGAAGAAATGCTTCAAGTTGCTAATGCTATAGTAAGTAGCTTAATTTAACAACATTATTAAGACTTTGGTTAAATTAATTATAAATCCTGATTGAGTTTATGAACCATATAAATTATTTTTTGCCTGTTAGAAAGATTCCAAGTAATATATTTTTATTTTGGGCTCCTTTGTCTGTATGATAAGGACTTAATCTTCTGTACATTAATATGAAATTTTCATGAGTATTGAAATATTTCCTTTCTCACTTAATCATCTTATTAGTATGTATAAGAAAAAGTAACAAGCAAAATAAATGAGAACCTTTAATAGCTGTTGAATTTCCTTTCTGTAAATTATTTAAATTAACTTAAAAACATTTGCTTTAGGTGAATTTTGAAAGATTTTTAAAATGAAGCATTTAAAAATATTAATAATCATTTAGTGTCTCTTTAAAATTGTGATGGAAATAACTTGGGAAGAAGTGGTTTATAGGTAATCTATAGCACATATTATGAACCCATGTTTTGCCATTGAGGTGTTGGCAGTAATTCTTTGGTTAATGATTAATACTAATACATTGTTTTGTTTTGTTTAGCTGTGCCATTATTTTGACCTAGGTGAGCAGACCTAAGGGAAATATCCTCATCTGTCCTTTATTTATTTTGCTTTCAGCGCACACTCTTCTACTTTTTTTCTCTGATTTACTGTTGCTATTGCATTTGTCTAGAGTGTGATTCCTCTAGATCATTGCTTAACTTTTTCCTCTTTATTCAGGCCTCAGCTCAAATGTTACCTCCAGACAGGTCTTCCCTGACCACCCTACAGAAAGAAACCTCTCACACCTCAGAACTGATTTTCTCTGTTCCATTTTAATTGTTGTACATCTGAAATGTTTATTTGCCTATTTTTTTATCTGTCTCCAGTGATTAGAATGTAGGTCCCACAAGGATAAGGATTTTCTTATTCATCTCTTTGACTGAGGACATAAATGGTGCCCAATACATAGTACTCCCTCAGTAAATACTGATTGATTGAATAATTATAATAAATATTTTTTATAGCTTCTAATGATGAAATTTCCTTAAGGTCAGTAAAAATATATATCTTTTCTATTTAAATTTTCTAGCAACCCGATAACATTGTTTATGTGATGGATGCCTCCATTGGGCAGGCTTGTGAAGCCCAGGCTAAGGCTTTTAAAGATAAAGTAGATGTAGCCTCAGTAATAGTGACAAAACTTGATGGTCATGCAAAAGGAGGTGGTGCACTCAGTGCGTAAGTATCATTGATGTTATTGTCCCGTGTCTTGGGCTTAGTGTGTGTGTGTGTGTGTGTGTGTGTGTGTGTGTGTGTGTGTGTGCGTGTGTGTGTATTTATGGCTTTCTTATTAATCATTTAAAATATATTCCAATGGTGGACATAGTATGGTCTGTAAAAGAAGTTTAAATAGAAACAGAGTACCTCTGATACAGTTCTCCTTTAGCTAGTGAAAAGAAACTTGAGCTATGTACCTTTGTCTAATTACCTTTAAAATCTTCTAGAAATTTGTTTTCCTTTTTGAGGTTATTTTGTGTTTTCTTTTTCTTTGCAGAGTTGCTGCCACAAAAAGTCCAATTATTTTCATTGGTACAGGGGAACATATAGATGACTTTGAACCTTTCAAAACACAGCCTTTCATCAGCAAACTTCTTGGTGTGTACAGTGGTGGGGATATAGAAAAACCTTCAAGAAATAGTATGAATTTTTAGGACAGATTAGGATTTTAATTCTGCCCTCTCGCTAACTAGCTCAGGAAAATAATTTTCTTCTATGATTTATCTTCTGTACCTGCAAACTAAGGATGGTGGTTATCTGCTTCCTGTAGTTAGAGTGGTAAAATGAGCTATTAGATGGAAAGTTCCTTGGAAAAGTTTTAGAGCTCAATACAGAAGCATGTGGTTGTAGTAATAGCAGTGATAATGGCAGCAAAACTTTCATAATGTCTCCAGGTGTTTGAGAGCATGGAATTTGGAATTAAACCCTGGGCTGCAGTTCCTGCTTTGTCACTTAACCTCTCCAGCTTCAATTTTTCACCTGTGAAGTGCCTATCTCACAGGCTTATTATGTATGTGCATGCATTTTGCATAATGTAAAACAGATACACTATTAGTTATTAATTTTACTTTTTTGGGTCTTATAGGTATGGGTGACATTGAAGGACTGATAGATAAAGTCAACGAGTTGAAGTTGGATGACAATGAAGCACTTATAGAGAAGTTGAAACATGGTATATGAGTAGCAAAAAGCATTTGATCTCAGATGACTTACCTGGATTTCTTTTGATAAAGCTATAATTTGTTTGAAATGATACATCCATTAAAGTCAATTCTTCAAATGTTTACTGTTTTAGATTTATATATAAATCATTTTAAATCTCAGGCATCTAAGCAATTGTAGAATGGAGTGTTTTTATTTTCTTTCTTGTAATCAAATTGCATTAAGATTAAAATTGAAGCTTTCATTGGGTTCCTTGGAGTAAAACAGGTTAAAAGTACGTTAGAATACTCTCTTCTGATTGGTTTGTTTACTTATAAATTTTATATTTATATGTAATAAAACATATAAAAAGAAATTTAAAAGAATGAGATTAAACACCCACACATGTTTTCTTTACTCCACATTGAAGTCAGCTCCTATTGAAATGTGATTAAGAGCTCAAGTTTTTTAATCTAACATGTGACTTTTTCAAATTACTTAACCTCCGACTACCCTGGTGGTCCAGTGGTGAAGACTCCACGCTGCCACTGCAGGGGGTGCGAGTTCAATCCCTCGTCAATGTCCAGAAGCATTTAACATATTATTGACCATTTCTGTTTTTCTCAAAATGGTATTACTCTTAATTTCCATGGCCACATACTATCCTGCCTCTTTGCTCCTTCTCATTCATCTTGTCAGGTGCCTATGCCTTTACTTCTCAAATGTTGATGTTTTCCAGGGATCATTCTAGGCCATCTTCTTTCTCTGGAGCTTCAGACTCATATCTGTATGTGTAGATGCTTAGATCTTCCTTAGACATTTAGTTCAGTTTATCCTTGTCTTCCCATCCTAACCTCCCACCCCAGTGTTATCATCTATGAATTTAACATCATTTGTCTTGTTGCCAAAGTCAGAAATTTGGATGTTGTCATCAACTCATCTCTTCCTCACTCTGCCCAGTCCTTTTCCGATCAGTCATTAGTCCTAGTGATTCTACCTCCTAATTATCTCCATTCCATCCCCTACTTCCCAGCAACTATGCAAGTTCATCTCTTATCTAGATTGTTTATTCTAAGTCTTTTAACAGATATTCCAGTTTTTTGGACTCTTCCCCTTGGATCAGTTTTTTATACTTCAGCCGAAATGATCTTTCAGAAATGCAAATTTGATCCTATTACCTTTCTTAAAATCTTTCAGTAGCTTCCCATTTCCCTTAGAGTAGTTTTGAATGACTCCACTATCTAACCCACATCTTCCGAGTCATGTTTTGACACTATTGTTTTTAGCATTCCGTGTGCTGGTCATGCTGAATTTCTATCAGTTTCTCACATGTACGCTGCTGTCTCTGCCTTTGCCCTTGCTGGTCCCTTTGCCTGTTAGGTAGTTATCCTCTCTTCTTCCTACTTCTGTCCTTCTTTATCCCAGCCAAACCGGCTAACTCCTACTAATACTTCAAGTCTTTCCTTAAATGTGCTTCAGGGACATTCTACCTTATCCTTAGACTAAGTTAGAACCCCCTACTGTATGTTTCCATTGGATCCTGTAATTGCTGTATGAGTCATCACAATGATTTGATGTCTGTCTTCCCTGCTGGAAAGTGAAGGTAGGTTTCATAGCTGTGTTCTTCCTCTTTTATGTTCACAGTACCTAGTACAGTTTCTGGCACTTAGTAAGTCTTTAGTAAATATTTGTTGAATGAATGAATCTATCCTTTATTGCCTGATTCTTTCCCCCTGCTACTACCACACTAAACTGGGTAATATATTCCTCGTCAGTCTGCTTTCTGACTCCTAGATCTCTCTTTATATCTCTGCATTTTGCTTCTGCTTCTAACATTCTACTCATTTCTGTTATCACCAAGGGCCTCCTGATTTCCAAATGTAGTGACCTTTCTCTTTCCTCTTGGCTCCCAGTACTTAACAGTTTTATCTGCCTTTTATATTTTCAGACTCTTCACTTGGGTTCCATGACAGTGGATTTCTTATATTTATCATAGCTTCAGTTGTCATTTCTGTATAATATGTATTTTAGCCTTAATCTTCTCTACCACCGTTTTATTTTGCATTTCTAGCTGCCGGCTATAACATTTCTTTTAAGATATTGTACTGCTACTTCAAATTTAGAATGCCTAAAACCAAACACCATTTTTGTTTATATCTTTGGACAAAAATAGAAAATAATCTTTCTCCTTTGTCTTGTTCTTTCTGTTTTTCTCCTTAACTGAATTTACATAATGATGAAATGCTCAGATTCTAAGAATATCATTCAATCAACTTTGACAAATGCACAATAATCTACACTCCATCAGGAAATAGAATATTTCCATTACTCTAGAAAGTTTGCTTATTCCCCTTCCCAGTAAATACTTCATATTATAGGAATCCTAGAGTGTATCTTTTTTTCCCACATGGTTTCTGTGACTCAGCATAATATTTTTGATATTCATCCAGGTGGTTGTACTCACCTGTAGCCTGTTCCTTTTTTTTTTTTTAATTAATTTATTTTATATACTTTTGGCTGCATTGGGTCTTCGTTACTACACACGGGCTTTCTCTAGTTGTGGTGAGAGGGGGCTACTCTTCGTTACAGTGCATGGGCTTCTCATTGCGCTGGCTTCTCTTGTCGCAGAGCACGGGCTCTACGGGCCTGGGCTTCAGTAGTTGCGGCCCGTGGGCTCAGTAGTTGTGGCTCGCAGGCTCTAGAGCGCAGGCTCAGTAGTTGTGGTGCTTGGGCTCAGTTGCTCCATGGCATGTGGGATCTTCCCGGACCAGGGCTTGAACCCGTGTACCCTGAATTGGCAGGTGGATTCTTAACCACTGTGCCACCAGGGAAGCCCATAGCCTGTTCTTTTATTGCTGAGGGTAGTATTTCATTCAGAGTCTATCCATTTTCCAGTTCATGGACAGCTAAGCTGTGTAAGAAACTCCAAATAATCTTCTAAAGTGCTTTTGCCCATTTTACAATTCTCATCAGCAGTATATGAGAGTTCTGTTTGTTCTACATTCTCTTTAACTTTTGGTGTTGTCAGACTTTTTAATTTCAGTTATCCTAGTAGGTATAGTTTGTCTCCTTTGTTTTCACATTTCCTGTATTTATGTCCATTTTCTCTGATAGAATATGAGCTTCTCTAGGATAGGATCTATCTGTCTCCACTGTATTCATCCTGTGATCTTGTGTGTAGTAACTGCTCAGTGAATATTTATTGATTGGATATTTCATAAGTGTGCTTCAAGATGAGCCCATGATTAAGGAAAATCATTAGGCTTTATTGACTGGAAATGTTCATTCTCTAATATATCTGCATCATTTATATTGTATTTCAGGTCAGTTTACGTTGCGAGACATGTATGAACAATTTCAAAATATCATGAAAATGGGCCCCTTCAGTCAGATCTTGGTTAGTTGTACTAAAAAGTTTTTTTCTAACCTCTTTTGTTTTTGTTAAAGTTTCTAAGAACAGATACCCTTGCTTTAATTATTTTAATATTTGGGTAAAAATAGATACTTTTAAAACTTAGTATTAACATTAAAGCCATTAATTAAATGTGAACATTCTGAACAATTAATCTCAAGCTATTATTGATTTTATGTTTAATATATCTTTTAGGGGATGATCCCTGGTTTCGGAACAGATTTTATGAGCAAAGGAAATGAACAAGAGTCAATGGCCAGGCTAAAGAAATTAATGACAATAATGGATAGTATGAATGATCAAGGTAAGGTGGTAGATTATTTGACTTGGAGGACAATGTTCTGAATATCAGTAAGTTGAGAGTTTAACTATGTTCTTGTGGACAAGATGGGGAAAATTTAGACTGAAAGATTATTGTTAGGGAGATTTCTAGCTGCTTGAAAGCTCTTGCTCAAAGGGTTGGGATTACTGGGTTGACCTCCTCATTGAGAGAAATGTCTAGTATAGTGCTTCTCCAAATGAGTTCTGTGGAGAGAACACAAGTTCTTTATGGTGTTGATAGAAATAACTTAAAAGGGGAGTTCTGTAGTCAAATAAATTTGGGGGAATGCTGAGTTTAAAAAAAAACACTAGTAAGTTTATTTATTGTATGTCTCCTCAGAGCTCTAATATGCTAACATGAATTGGGAATCTGTAAGAGAGAGATAGTTTATGCAGTGTTTACCAGCTTATTTTGCTCTGTAACTCTCAAGGTTTGGTCTTCTCAAGTACACTGCTCTATCTCTAATCCTACATTATCCCTTTCTCCTGTACTTTCAGGTCCTCAGCCCATGAATATCTCTAGATCCATGACCTCTTTATCTTTTCCCCAGTATTTGTAGCACCCTTTCTGATTGAACCCAGCAGGCATGCCAAACATTTATCACCCTTTTGTAGCCCTTCTACTCTTGATCTCTGTTCTTATTTACAAAGAAATACAGGCTTTTGGCATTGAATTCTTTCAGCCTTTGGCTGATTTATCTATGAGATTGTGGCAGCCACAAACCATTCTTAAAGCTTTTTCAAGGACCTCTCTCCATCAGTAAAATCCTCTGCTATATCTGCAGTCTCTCCTTACCTACTGACTTTTTTCCCCCATCAATATATAAACATTCTTTCTTAAGTTCACAATTTCACATTTTCTAGGCTTCACTTCTCCCGCATGCTTTTACTCTGTCTCTCTTTTCAGTCAAGCTTCTTAAAAGGATGGTTTGTGTTCCCAAACTACTGAAATCTGACTTCTCTCCTCACCATTACTGTGAAATAGATCATACAAAGATTTTCAATAACCTTCCACTGGTCTACTCTAATGGATACTCTTCAGTTTTTTTCTTGACCTTTATAACATTGGATGTTAAACACCTTTTTCTCTTGGTTTCCATTATACCATCTCTCCATTTTACCCTTACCTTTATTGGTTTCTTTTTTTTGTTTGCTTTTTTGGTTTTGTTTGGTTTTGTTTGTTTGTGTTTTTGGCTGTGCTGTGTGGCTTGCAGGATCTCAGTTCCCAGATCAGGGATTGAACCTGGGCCACGGCAGTGAAAGCCCAGAATCCTAACCACTAGGCCACCAGGGAACTACACATACCTTTCTTGTTCACTTAGTCTCTTTCACTGGTCTCATCCTCACCCAACCTCTTAAATGAATATATGCTACAGTTTTCTGTCCTCAGCTAGTGTTTCTTATTGTTCTGCTCAGTTTTGAATAATTAATCCACATCTATGCTTTGTCTACTACCTGATGATTTTTTGTAGTCTCTACGTCTTTCCTGATCTCTAGGCCTTCATAGTAACCCAAATAATGTTTCTCTCTCATCTGTGTATCTTCAACACTATTAAAAGTTGTGCAGGGCTTCCCTGGTGGCGCAGTGGTTGAGAGTCTGCCTGCCGATGCAGGGGACACTGGTTTGTGCCCCTGTCCGGGAAGATCCCACGTGCCGCGGAGCGGCTGGGCCCGTGAGCCATGGCCACTGAGCCTGCGCATCCGGAGCGTGTGCTCTACAACGGGAGAGGCCACAACAGTGAGATGCCCACGTACCGCAAAATAAAAAAAAAAAAAGTTTTGAATGTAGAATTAATAACTGCAGCCATATCTAGAGTGTTTATTCTGCCCTAGGTACTGTCCTGAGCACTTTACATATTTTAACCCACAACAACTCTTAAGGGACAATTCTGGGGTCAAAATCCAATCTAGCTGTTACAGATTAGGATACAGGGAAGTTGAGTAATCTGCCAAAGGTCACTAGCTAGGGAATGGAGAGGCTGGGCTTCTGGCTTGAGAGTCTATACTCTGGATCACTTCCTGTCTAGGTGCTCACTGAATGGTGGACAGACATCTCTATTACACGTTTGAGAGTTTTCTGAGGTACATCAGTTCCAAAATGTAGTGATTCTGGTTTGGTGAGTGACACTTCCACCTATCTGTTCAATTACCCAAGCTAGAAACTGGGGTCAACTTAGATTTACTGTCTAGTCATTCTATTGATTATGGATATAGAGGTATTGAGATGCCTAACTTTTCTCCTTTCAGTTGTGTCAGTTTTGCTTTGTGTATTTTGAAGCTCTTTTGTTGGGTGCATACACATTTAGGATTGTTATGTCTTCTTAGTGAATTGACCTGACCCTTTTATCATTATGTATGTAATGCTCTCCTTTGCCCTGCTCCACTTTATCTGATATTAATGCAACCACTCCAGCTTTCTTTTAATTAGTTGTTTGTATTATATATCTTTTTCTATCCTTTTGCCTTTAACCTACCTGTATCATTATATTTGAAGTGAGTTTCATATTAACAACATGTTATGTTTTTTCTTTTTTAATAATTCTGATAATCTTTTAACTGATATATTATCTATATATTAGGATTTAAGTTCTGCCATTTTATCTTTTGTTCTGTTTGTTCACTCTGATTTTTGTTCTTTGTTTTCTCTTTTCTATCTTCCTATGGATTGTTTGAACATTATTATTCTATTTTAATGTATCTGTATGTTTTTTAGTATGTTTCTTTGAGTAGTTTTCTTAGTGGTTGCTCTAGGTATTACAATATATATACATACTTAACTTATCACAGTCCATTCGTATCAGTATTTCATCACTTCAAGTACAATACAGAAACCTTAACATCACCTTAGACTTAGTGAGTTATACTTCCTAAGTATTTCTTGTATCTTCTCTCTCCTCTTTGTCTCTATATCCCCTGAATTAGTTCATACACTCATCATTCCTTACCTGGATTGCTACAGTAGCCTCCTGACACTTCCCTTTCTCCACTCTTTTTTTTTTGTGGTACACGGGCCTCTCACTGTCATGGCCTCTCCCGTTGTGAAGCGCAGGCTCAGCGGCCATGGCTCACGGGCCCAGCCACTCCGCGGCATGTGGGATCTTCCCGGACTAGGGCTCGAACCCGTGTTCCCTACATCAGCAGGCGGACTCTCAACCGCTGCGCCACCAGGGAAGCCCTTTCACTCTTTTAATCTGCCTTCCTCACTGCCACAAGAATAATCTTTCTAAACATAACAATTCTGGGATCGAAATCTTTCAGTGGCTCTATGTTGTCTTCGTGATGAATTCCCAACTCCTAAGCCTGGTGTACAAGTTCTGTTATAATTTTGTCCTTACTTACTTTTATAATCTCTTAAATCTCTCAGCTCTTATCCATGTATTTTTCCTTCTACACAAAACTAGTTTCATTTATTCTAGGAATCCATGTTCTGCTTCCTAGAATATCCCTTGCTCTTTTCTCTTCTTTACTTATACTTGTCCTTCAGGACTACACAGTTAAAGAGAAACCACCAGCATGGAGCCTTTCCTGACTTCCTTTCTTCTTTGAATTATGTCCCCTTCTGCTTTTTGCTTAACTCTCTCCTATTGCTTGCCAGGATGTGCTGTTATTCGCTGTCTTCTTTCTCTCACTCCATTTGAGCTCTTGGAAGGAATATGATACACATTTTCTAAATATTTTATCATGAAGATGTGGCTTAAAAGCTGCATTTATGAAATGGATTTAGAGGTTTTAACAGACTATAAGTTTATTATGAGATAATTTGATCTTTATTTGTATTACATGAGTAATTAGTCTTCGCCTGGATTTCAGTTCACTTCTGGACAATATGCTTAGAGGGCATAGACAAATTAGAAAATGTAGTTAGGAAATCAGCGTGGTAAATGGGGTGCTAAACCATGTTATAAGAGGAACAGTCAAAAGAGTTGGATATTTGTCACCTGGAGAAAATTCACACGAGACATCATGGCTCTCAAATAATTTGAAAGCCTTATTCTTTATGCCTGGCAAGGAGACATCTATGCAAAATAGGAAGGAATGTCAGGCAAACATATTTCATTTTAATATGTGAAAAGATTTTCCATAATTACGGGTATTAGAATGGCATAGATTGACTTATTTTGGATAGTGGGTCATCTCTCCTGGGGTTGTTAAATCAAAGTTAGGTGATCACTTATTGGGGGATATTGTGGAGAGAATGCAAACATAATAGAAATTTTGTTCCTGAGATTGTATGCAACTAATGCCATAAGAAATGTACCTCGTATTCTAAGAGTTATCAAAACACTGGAAGGAATTAACTCATTCTTTACGTTACAGAAGGCGTTAAAAAACTAGTAGTAATTACTTGATTATATAGGAAATATACAATTATTCTGTTGATTATAGATAGAACCTACCTACTTCTACTTGCTTATATGCCTAAATTTATGATTTAAAGGATAATAGTTATTTAGAGCTAAGGTAAGCACTTTTGTTCCTCTTTGAAATATACCTTATACCTGTGGCATATACTCTGAGGAGCAGTTGGATATGAGATATAGAAAGGGTGGACAAAGAAAATTTTTTCAAAGAAAAATTTTCACAATGTTCTATTTTACTTAAACTGTAGGGTGAGTAGATGTGTATTTGTTTTATTGTTTTTATAGCTTATGGATATTATAAATATTCTTTTGAATATATTCCATGTTTAATTTTAAAAAACCGGATGAAGACACAGCAGATGATAACAACATTTGTTAAATTTGGTTGGTGGTTTCACCACTGTATTTCTTTTCTGTGTGTAAGATATTTGCATGTAACTGCTTTGACAATGAATGTTAATTGTGTGTACGTGAAAGTTATTGACCCTTGCCTACAGAGCTGGACAGTACTGATGGTGCCAAGGTTTTCAGTAAGCAACCAGGAAGAATCCAAAGAGTAGCAAGAGGATCAGGTGTGTCAACGAGAGATGTACAAGAACTTTTGACACAATATACCAAATTTGCACAGATGGTAAAAAAGATGGGAGGTATCAAAGGACTTTTCAAAGGTAAGAAAAATAACAAGCTCATCATTAGTTGACACACTGAAAGGAAAGAAAGAGGTTGAGAAACTAAAAATTAAAGCCAGGGAGTACTGCCAGTATTAGAAAATACACTGCTGAATTTCATGTCATATTCAAGTACTTCCAGGATTTATAATGCAATCTGTGATTTATCTGTTTTCAGATTCAAGGTAATAAATGCTAATATTTTTAAAAATCACACTTAATGAACTTTATTTTTGTGAGGTTATAGTATATATTAAAGAAAATTTAGAGAATATAAGGAAATATAAGAAAAAAATTTAAAACACCCATTACCTTTACTCCCCAGAGAATCCCATGGGTCTTATTGCAAATAACATTTGATATAACTAGTGCTTTTTCTTTTCAAACATCATGACTCTTTTTCCATATTGTCAGAAATTCTTCAGAATATAACTTTTAACCACTGAGTACTATTCCAGTTACGCATGTACCTTTGTTTAGCACAATGCGTCTTTGTTGGATGTTTAGGCTGATTTCATATCAGTATCAGTTCCTGTATCAGTTCCTGTGCAGTCTTCCATGAGGCCAGGGATTTTGTCTGTTTTGATCATAAATATAGTAGATGCAGAATAAGTTTTGTAATAATTCAGTATTTCCAATTTAATGGTCAAATGTTTTTCAATATGTTTTATTGATTACTCACGTTTAACATTTCTTCGTACATTTATTGGTTTGAATTTTCTTGGTGAATTCCCTCTTACTTAGGTTACTTGTCCATTTGTTTTATTTTTTTCCTTATTGCTTTGTAATAACTCTTTAAAATTCTTGGACTATACCTGCAAATATTTTTCCCAAAATTTCATTTGCCGTTCATTTTTATTTTTAATTAAAAATGAAGTTTTAGTTTTTTTAATTAATTAACTAATTTATTTATTTGGCTGCATCAGGTCTTAGTTGCGGTATGCGGGATCTTCGTTGAAGCATGCGGGGTCTGTCATTGCAGCACATAGGCTCTTTGTTGTGGCGCGCGGACTCTAGAGCACGCAGGCTCAGTAGTTGCAGCATGCAGGCTTAGTTGCCCCGCAGCATGTGGGATCTTAGTTCCCCGACCAGGGATCAAACCCACATCCCCTGCCTTGGAAGGCGGATTCTTAACCACTGGACCACCAGGGAAGTCTCTGAAGTTTTCATTTTTAATGCAGCCAGGCCTTTTGGTTTGGTTTCTTTTATACTCATAAAAGCCTTCCCCATGTTGATACCACAGTAGTCACCTATACTTTCTTCTACTTGTTGTTTTTTTTTTAGGTTTTTACTCTTTATCCCACCTAGAATTTATTTTGCTGTGTATTGTCTAAGGTAAAAAGGTAAGTTTGTTTTTCCAAAGGGTTAAAATCAACTGTCCTAGCCCTCTCTTTAAGGTTTTTTTCTATATCATAAACACTATTAAGGTGAATTTATTATTTAAGAAATATTGATTAGGTAAGCTCCAAAGACAAATAATACCACTGAATAGCTTTCTTAAAAAGATGGGTATTTACATAAGTTTTTATCACGTTTTTAAATTTTTTTTATTTTTTAATTTTTTTTTTGTGGTGCGTGGGCCTCTCACTGTTGTGGCTGGCCTCTCCCGTTGCGGAGCACAGGCTCCGGACGCACAGGCTCAGCGGCCATGGCTCACGGGCCCAGCCGCTCCGCGGCATGTGGGATCCTCCCGGACTGGGGCACAAACCCATGTCCCCTGCATCGGCAGGCGGACTCTCAACCACTGCGCCACCAGGGAAGCCCTATCACATTTTGTCTTTGACAGTTTGCTTACTTTCCTTGCCTACTATATCCTACTTTCTTTTTTGTGACAAGGGAGAAAAGTTAGACAAACAAGTTTAAAATTGGTTATAATTCCTAACACCACATATTATTTCAGATAGTGATTTATAAACACATTAAGTCAGTTTAACATCTTTCCCAAATGACCCTGACTGTTCTTGATAGAACTACTGCAGATCTGTTGGTTAGATCTTGTCTAAGCATTAACTCCTCAATAAAGGCACAACCAAGATGAAGTGGGCAGTGGATATGGTACACGTCCTTGTCACACCAAAGTCTTAATAATTTTTCGAAGTTTTAAGTCCTCAGAGACAAAAACTCTTACAACAAATCACAGTGGTTGTAAAATTCACATCTTACACAAATTTATTAATTATGAAACATTTTTTACATGTTTTATCATCTTTTATAAAAACACATCTTATGGTTCTTAATTCATTTAATTTAATCATATTAGCCAGCTTTGATCAGAGAATCAGGGTCATCTTTGATTTGCATTTTCACAAATGTTCCTGAGAAGTACCAGAGTTAATGTTCCTTTGAAATAAATAAGTTTTGCTGAAGCAGCTCTACTTATTCATTGCTATTGCATCACTGATGTCTTTGGCTTTCTGTCTCTTAAGAGCACAGCAGTTATTCTCTAAAGGATGCTCTTATCGCTTCTGCGCCAGTGTGCATCTCTTTCATTGGCTGCCTTTTTACTGTGGAGTTTCAACTGAGTGTGTAGAAATTCATTAATAAATGGAGTTGCATTATTCTTTCTATTCTCTGAAGCTTTTTGTTATTTATAATAGCTTCTTAGATATACACATCTTCAGGTTCTCTCAGACTCATTCTTTCATATCCATTTATCAGTAATCCACTCTCTTTCCCAATTAACCCATATCTGTAAAGTTTTTTGTTCAGCATTCTACCATGTCACTATTAAACAATTGTTACAGCTTACTATTAATAACCACTGGATATGGTTTTGCTTATAGTGGCTCATTCACAGGTATAAGTAAAAATGTTAACAAAAATTGTAGCCCTTAAGAAAGTTCCTTAGGGCTTCCCTGGTGGTGCAGTGGTTAAGAATCCGCTTGCCAATGCAGGGGACACAGGTTCGAGCCCTGGTCCGGGAAGATCCCACATGCCGTGGAGCACCTAAGCCTGTGCGCCACAACTACTGAGCCTGCACTCTAGAGTCCGCGAGCCACAACTACTGTGCCCATGCGCCTAGAGCCCGTGCTCCGCAACAAGAGAAGCCACTGCAATGAGAAGCCCATGCACCGCAACGAAGAGTAGCTCCCACTCGCCGCAACTAGAGAAAGCCCGAGCGCAGCGATGAAGACCCAACGCAGCCAAAAATAAATAAATAAAATAATTTTAAAGAAAAAGAAAGTCCCTTAATATTGAGTTTCACTTGTTCTTTCTCAAAAATATGTATGAAATTGGGATAAAGAGTAGAAGGGGAATATGTACAAATAGAAATAATTGTGTTAGAGTGATAAGATTATAGGTTTCTTTCTTTATATTTACTCAATTTCTATGATACCCTGATTATATTACAGTCTATATTGACTCAAAACCTTTTTTTCTTCAGGTGGTGACATGTCTAAGAATGTGAGCCAGTCACAGATGGCAAAATTGAATCAACAAATGGCCAAAATGATGGATCCTAGAGTTCTTCATCACATGGGTAAATACAAAGTTGTTGCCAGTTGCTAATACTTGGTTTAGTTTACAAGGGTTGAGTTTTAATATGCCTTTTGTTGTGATATGAAAATCTGTTCAAACAATGTATGATTTAAGTAAAAGGGCCATCTACCTTCTAAGTTGAATGGTTGTAACAGTGCTGTATAAGCTGAGGTTTTATTTACTCCTCTGCTGCTGTTTGTGATTTTTGAGCAAGCTACTTGATCATCTTTTGTTAATGCTTGTTCTGGTGACCTTTTTCCTTAGTTTAGAATCTGGATAGTTTGATTAGACTTTGGAATTATATAACGATTTTGAAAACCCAGTTCCACTTTTACCATGTAACCTATAAAAAGTTCTTTAAACTTTCTGAACCTCACTTTCCCCTTCTGTAAAATCACAGGCAATAGCTCGTCAGGAAATTATGATGATTAAATGAGCTAATAGATAGGAAAGCATTTAGTACAGTTCTGGGCATAGAACACATGTTCAATAATGGTGAATTGTTTTCTTACTTTAAGTCCTATGAAATAACTACCCCCTATCCCTGCCCCAAATTATTACTATTTACAAGACTCAGACTCCCCAGGAAAAACATTTTTGTTTAGATTTACTGACTCCCTACTGTGTGACAGGTACTGCTCTGAGATCTCTTCATGTAGTATGTATTTCTCATAATGTGATGAGGTAAGTTATTCATTCTCTTTTATAGATGAGGATACTGGTTATAATACAAATTTTTATGTACTTTAAGGCTGATGCAGTCAGAACCCAGTATATTTTTTTAGAAGTTCAAGTACTTATTAGGCAAAAGTAACAAATGTTTCAAGTTGTGTTTAATAATTATCTGATTTTATTCTACTCTCACTCTAGGTGGTATGGCAGGACTTCAGTCAATGATGAGGCAGTTTCAACAGGGTGCTGCTGGCAATATGAAAGGCATGATGGGATTCAATAACATGTAAAGAAGATGCCTTAATTTAAACTGACTCAGTTGATTACATTGTTTGCTGAGACCTCAGAGTTTCCCTCCTTTTTGCAAACAGGAAATAAAAGTATTTTTCTTGTCTGTCTTGCCCCTTTTCTTTCTCTCTTCATCTTTTATCCCCCTCCTTTTCTTTTTCCTTCCTTCCTTTTTCCCTCCCTCCCTTTCATATAAGGGAGGAATATATGTTTTTTCTGGAAATCATTATATTTTTGCTTTAGATTTTCTTCTGTTAGTTTTCAGCCATCATAACACATCATAACACTTCTTAAGTTAAACAAATCATGATGTAAAATTTTAGTATTGATACTTAAAAGTTTTTAATTGTCTCAAAGGCCAAGCATTGCATTTGTAAACAGTCCTGGTCAATAGTTACATGATGTCTCAATAAAAGTGCTGTAAAATAAACTTCAAAGTCGTTATAAGTTAAGGGGTTGTTAACTTTCTTTATGGCTTAAAATTATCAGTGTATCATGTTAAAAGGCAGACAGAGAAGCTAATATTTAAAACTATTCTCATAAGTGTACGTTTATTGGGACATATGATAGAGTAACCTAACCATTAGTATTAGGAATTTTTGTTTAACTTGGAATAATCAAGATAATTTTGCCATAGAAAATCTTAGGTCTGCCATTTAAATTGAAATTGTGAATTTGGTTACAGTTCACAATTTAATGTTTTGTATATAACTTGCATTTTTTTACCTCATATTTTTGAAGCCTTAATGGCAATATTTGATTTTCTTGAAAAGCCAATTTTGTTATGTTTCTTACATACCAAAAATCTGCTTGAAGAAATTGATATACTTTGATGATAATAGCTAATGTATAGACTTCCTAACGGGAATATAACTGCAAATATTAGGCTGTCACTATTATATATTAAAAATAATGAGACCATGACAAGATTGACTTGGTTGTTGGTTACTTTGGATTGCTGCACAGTTCAATTAGGACAATGGCTTTTCAGTAAGTTATGGAATTTATTTAAAATACTAGAATAATTATTATACCTACTCATTATTGACATCATGAAGATAATGGATGTGGTATAACAGTGCATTTTGAACTAGGGTGAACTGATTTTGAACTAGGATGACCTGATCTTCAGCAAAGAATTGATTTGTAGAAGTAGAAGAGAGTGAAAGAAATAGCTAGTTTTTATAGTATTAATTTTTTATAACTCAAGTGTTTTAAAAGGGTCTTAAAATCCAAAGTATCTTCAGAAAATAATTACATAGAGAATGCAACCGATTTTCTTGTTTATTTGGGCAAAGATTTTATATCCCACCAAATCATTTTCACCAGCCAAAAACTAATATCCCTATAAAATATTTGTATACCCTGTAAAAATTACATATCTTGTGTTCTGCAGAAATGTCATCACAAGGTCCAGCTACAGAAATTTGACAGTAGAGAAAATATTGTTCTCCAAATTAGTTTCTTATTAAACTGATGCATACCATCTTTTCTGGGCATGCATTTTTGTGATTTCTATCCTCAGGGTACCACTTTTTCATTTTGACCAAAAAAGGAAATGAGACACTTGGCCAAACTGTATGGCTTTGGGCATTGTTGTTAGTATTTTTGGGTGTGATGCAAATTATATTTTTCAGAAGCAAAAATAACAGTGGCAAAGGACAACTAAAGGTCCAGAACATGTAGTTCAGCTTCTATTTCTCTTGCCTCTTCTATAAAATGAGGAAATTGGGGATGTTCTCTGAAATTCTGATTCCATTAATTCCTCAACCTGGCATCTTTTTAGTTACAAAAGCTATCTTTCATTTCTCACAGTTTCTATCAAAGTACTCATTTTTTGAAAGCGTAAGTACTATATACCAGAATTAAATTCTTTAATAATTTGAACAAATGTCCTTTTATTTTTCACTGTTGTTAAAATTGGTTCCTTAGCTTTTTGATATATGTTCTATTTCCAACTTAGAGCACTAACTAGATCTAATATCATACAACATTGCATTCTTCTTGGATTTTATTATAATGTTACTTAAATATGTACCAACATAAAATTAGGTATAATTTCTTGCATTTACAATGCTTATGTAATTTTAAAACAAAACCAAACAGAACTTAATTATCAGAAAACTACAGTACCTAGAAAAGGCAAATTAATAATTTAATCTGATGGATGTCAGTGTTCTGAAAGTATCGTATTTGCTAGCATGTAAAATATAAGGTGTATACACAATGCATTGCAACTTTATGGAGGAATTTTTTGGAAAAAAATAATTACTTTTCATCATGTAGTAAAAGCAATTTTAAAGTGTGTTACATAAACCATTATATTGTTCAAATAAATACAGTGTGTCATAATGTGAGAAGTCCTAAGTTCTGATATGCAGTAATATTGTACTAACCTTGAATAGACATATAACGCACATAGCTAAAAATAAATGTATTGTTATCAAAAATACTGATATAGAGAAGGCAAGACCAGGAAATTTACTAGAACTAAAGTTTCATCATGCATATTAATGTTGGAAAAATTACTATAATATTAATACCTTATGTCAGTGAATGTAGAGGTTCTGAAAAGTAAACCATAATATAAAATAAAATTGAATGATTTTCTTTTACAGGTAGCTTTAGTACCTATAAACAAAAATTTGAGTAAAAAATGGAACAAAGTATTTAAAATAAATGTGAAGGAATTTCAGCTTGTTGATTGTGTATGCAGTAAAAGCAAATATTTTACTATAATAAAAAATAATAGCAACCACAGAATTTGAATGAGCCAGGGAGAACCATGGCTAAATAACAACTAAATGTAAATAAGTTTTGGTCTTCCTTAAAACCTGGCAATAATTATTAATAAAGCCAAGTAAGGTGCATATTCAAAACTAGGAAGCCATCATCACAGCTCAAATCTGTTTCTGTTCATTGCTGGCATTCACTGGATTAGAAACATAGTCATCTTCAAAATTCTGCTCTAAACTCCAGTTACCATGCTCTGAACATTAAGCTATTGCATTACAGTTAAACCTAATGCCTTTTTTGCTTCTGAGCCATGAGTTACAGGAATGATGGATTTATATCTCAAATTTTGAGGTATTAATTTAAATTTTACTTCTAGATCACCTGTATAGTCTGTGACTTGTTGTTGATGTGATGTGAAATTTTGCTATGAGTCTTTTCCCAACACTTTGCAATTAGGGGTAGATAACAATTTATTTGTGCTCATTGTTGAGTAATTGCTAACCCAAGCCTCTAGTCCCTATCCTTCTCTACTGACCTCTTGTCTGTAATATGGGCGTATTGAGTACAAGGTAATTTTTGGATGCTTTTAAAGGAAGCTGGTAAATTATGGCACATTTCCTTTGGTAGTATTAATGTGGTGCATACAAGCTGTTGAGGTTGGCATGCCTGTGCTACTGTTTGCAACTCTCATTACTTTTCTTTCTCTTCATTCAAAATCATTATTTGAAGTGCATATAGATCTTTTAGCTTCATTTGGCTTAAAAGTTTCTCTCATTAGCCTAAAACAATGCATTTCTTTTTTTTTTTTTTTTTTTTTTGCGGTACGCGGGCCTCTCACTATTGTGGCCTCTCCAGTTGCGGAGCGCAGGCTCAGCGGCCATGGCTCACGGGCCCAGCCGCTCTGCGGCATGTGGGATCCTCCCAGACCGGGGCACGAACCCGTGTCCCCTGCATCGGCAGGCGGACTCTCAACCACTGCGCCACCAGGGAAACCCAACAATGCATTTCTTGTACCAGTTGGATCATAAATGGAAAGACAATCAAGAAATTGCACAGCAGTACCTGTTTGTAGGAGAGATAATTTAGATGAGTCTGACACTAAGAAAATCCCCTACGTGGGGCCTGAGACTACTCTGACATAAAGACTGTCTTCTCATGGGAAGCAGAAGTGAGTAATATCTTGTAATTATGGTCTATTTTTCTTAAACAACACACGCAAAAGTTTTGTGACCTTCCAGGGAAAAGTCCTGTGTAATGTCTGCATATCTGCATAATTTATGTATCTTGCTTGTTTGCTTTTTTGATTTTAAAATAGAATGAGGGAAATTAAAGAGGTAACCCAAAAGAGGTAAGGGTTGTTACTGGATATATTCATGGACCAGAAATTCCCAAAGTTTCTGACTTTGGGAATCAATTAAGTGGTTCAGAATTTTATGTCTGACAGAAGTGGTACAAGAAATACCCATCTGTTTCTTGACATTCCATTTGATAGGAAATATAGGGAGTGTGAAGCCCTTCAGTTGATGTGTGTCCTTTGATTTTTTACAGTTTCCTTCTTATAGTTTACCAAGAACTTGGATTGGAGGGTAAATTTACTCTATATACACAATTGGGCTATCAAGCGCATCTCATCTGTTACTAGGGAAAGGTATGGTTTCCTCAGTCCAGAAAAAGTACAGTTCTCAGGATTGTTTTTTCCTTTTGGCAACTCAGCCAATATCAACAATTTTATTTTAGAGAGTTCAGCAAAAGTTCAGCGTGGGCAGTGAACCTGGAGCTCCTCGGGGCACGTCTCAGTCATTTATGCCATTGTTCCTTTCACATTTCCCCCCTTTGCTCATGATTTTTCCTGGAGAAAATATCACCAGGGCAACTTTTAGTCCCACATAGCTGGAGTGGCTTGGTTGCCTGTTCTGGATTCATCATGTTCCTCAGAGTGGGGGTTGGGTGTAAGAGTCAATAAATGGATCAGGAAAATCGTTGGCGGCATCATGATATTGTGCTGCCTCAAGCATAGTGGTCTGTGTGAGCCTTAACCAAGCAGAAGAATGGTTAAGTATGGAAGTAATCAATGTAAGCAAGGACTGTATCAACATAAAGAAGCTAACACCTATTAAGAGCAATAACCCAGTTTGCAGAACAGTTCTGAACCAAGATCCAATGTTTGAGGGCAAACAGCTGAACAAACATTAAGGGAGTGTTAAGGGTATCAGAGTGAAGCCAAGCGGGTTTCTTTTGTAGGACCTCAGTTAGAGTTTCTACTATATCAGAAGTATTTATCCAAGTACAGCAGGTGGCATTTAAGATGGCACAGATACCTCCATGTTCTGCCAGAAGGTAGTCTAAGACAAATCAGTTATCTAATATAGC